GTTGAGGTATGTTTCTACTGTCCCTAGCTTTCCTAAAGTTTTGAACATGAAGAGGTGCTGTATTTTCTCAAATGGTTTTTCTGAATCTACTGAGATGACCATGTGATTCCTGTCTTTAAGTCTATTAATGTGAGGAATTCCGTTTATTGATTTCCATATGTTGAACCAACATTGAATCCCTGTGATGAACCCCACTTGATCATAGCACACTTGCTTTTAAAAATCTTTTTGTATGTGATTGGCCAGAATTTTATTGAGAATTTTTGCATTTATGTTAATCATGGATATTGGTCTGAAGTTTCCTTTCCTTGTTGTGTCTTTGTCTGATTTGGGTATCAAAGTGATACTAGTTTCATAGAATGAGTTTAGAAGGGTTCTCTCCTTTTCTGTTTCAGGGAATAATTGGAGGGGTATTGGTGTTAATTCTTGTAGAACTTGGTTGATAATCTGTCTGGTCCTTGGATAGTAGGCTTTGAATGGCATCTTCTATTTTATTGCTTGAAATTGATCTGTTTAAATTGTATATATCCTCCTGATCCAGTATGGGTAGATCATATGTCTCTAGAAATTTGTGTCTTCGAGATTTTCTATTGTATTGGACTATAAATTTTCAAAGTAGTTTCTAATAATCTTCTGTATTTCAGTAGTGTCCATTGTGATATTTCCTTTTTCATCACAAATTATAGTAATTAGAGTTTTCTCTCTCTTTTTCTTCATTAGCATAACTAAAGGTTTATCAATTTTATTTATATTTTTAAGAAGCAACTTTTCATTTTAGTCAATGTTTTGAATTTTTGTTTGTTTGTTTGTTTCATTTTCATTGATTTCAATATGTTCCTGTCTTCTACTGATTTTGGTGTTGATTTGTTCTTCTTTTTCTAGGGCTTTGAGATGTAATGTTATGTCATTTATATGTTGACTTTTTATTCTTTTAATTAATGAGCTCAATGCAATGAATTTTCCTCTTAGCACTGCCTTCTTAGTGTCCCAGAGATGTTGATATGTTGTGTTGGTGTTCTCATTTACCTCTAAGCATTTTTTATTTCCTCCTGATTTCTTCTGCTATCCATTTGTCATTCAATAGATTGTTATTTAGTCTCCAGTTGTTGGAGTAGCTCCTATTTTTAATTTTATTGTTGATTTCTAATTTCATTCTTGTATGATCTGATAGAATGCAGGGTAGTATTTCTATGTTTTTGTATTTGCTAAGAGTTGCTTTATAGCATTACATATGGTCTTTCTTAGAGAAGGATCCATGTCTGCTGAGAAGAAAGTATATTCGCTGCTTGAAGGATGAAATACTCTATATATGTTTGTTAAGTCTAAATTATAGATTGTATTATCTAGTTTGTACTTTGTTTAGTTTTTGTTTGGAAGATCTATCCAGTAGTGAGAGAGGTGTGTTCAAGTCACTCAGTATTATTGTGTTGTGGTCTATTTGATTCTTGAAATTGAGAAGGGTTTGTTTGATGTATGTAGATGTTCCATGGTTTGGGGCATAAATGTTTACATTTGTTATGTCTTGTTGATGTATGATTCCCTTAGACAGTCTGAAATGTCCTTCTTTATGCCTTCTGACTAACTTTGGCTTGAATTTCACTTTATCTGATATGAGGATGGAACTCCCTGTTTGGTTATTCAGTCCATAAGAGTGATATGTTTTTTCCCAACTTTTCACCTTCAACGGTCTGTGGATGTATTTTCCTAGAGTGTGAGTCTCTTGAAGACAGAATATCATTGGTTCTTTTGTAAAAATCCAATCTTCTAGTCCATGTCTTTTGATTGATGAGCTTAATCCATTAATACTCAGGGATATTATTGAGATATGATTTGTATTCCTGGTCTTATTTTTGGTTTTTAACTTGTCTTAGTTTCTCCTCTGATTGACTTTTTCTTTAGTGTAGTTCCTCCCTTTGCTGATTTTCATTTTTTTCTCATTTCCTCCTGATGTAATATTTTGCTGAGAATGTTCTGTAGTGCAGTCTTTCTAGTTGTGAATTCTTTTAATTTTTGTTCATCATGGAAGGTTTTTCCTTCATCCTCAAATCTGAAGCTTAGCTTTGCTGGGTCTACAATTCTTGGTTGGCATCCATTTTCTTTCAGAGCTTGATAAATATTATCCCAGGACCTATAGGTGTTTAGGGTCTGGGTGAGAAATCAGCTGAGATCCAAATTGGTTTCCCCCTATATGTAAGTTGACATTTTTTTTCTTGCAGCCTTTAAAAGTCTATTCTCTTTCTGTCTGTTATGCATTCTCAATATAGTGTGCCTTAGTGTGGATCTGCTGTAATTTTGTATCTTTGGGGTCCTGAAAGCCTCTTATAGATGATTTTCTATTTTATTCTTTAGATTTGGGAAATTTTCTGATATCACGTCATTGAAAAGATTGTGCATTCCTTTGGTTTGTATCCCCACATCTTTGTCTATCCTGATAAATCTTAAATTTAGTCTTTTTATGTTATCCCATAATTCCCAAATGTTCTCTTCATGGTTTCTTACCATCTTCTCTGTATGGTTAATTTTATTTTCAAGAGTAAATATTTTGTCTTCATTGCCTGAGGCGCTGTCTTCCAAGTGGTCTCATATATTGGTGATACTTTCTGTTCAATTTTTTGATTTGATTTTGTATTTCCTTTATTTTGAGATTTCTGTTTGATTTATTTTTATAATCTCTGCCTCTTTATTGAAGTGAGTTTTCAGTTCTTGTTTTTTTCTCTCTGATATCATCCTTTATTTAGAAAATAAATTTAACTATGTATCTTCTAAATGCCATCTCTGACATTTCTTCCACAATATTTTTTTATGAATTCTAGACAACATTCTTGATGTTGGAACATCTTGGTTTTATTTGAGATGCTTTGTTCCCTTGTTTTTTCATGTTTCATGTTGTCTTTCCATCTAGTCGTATGGATTTGAGGCAGTAGTTTCTACTCTGTAGTCGTAGAGTGTCCATGAAGGTTTCCAGTACCTCACCTTTAAAAGGGATACCAATATTAACAGCACCCAATGCAAACTACATACAGTCTTACACCAAATAGCTCCTATTATGGCATCTATAGTTTTGTTGCAATAAGTAGAAATGATGCATTCGATTATCATCAATTATCATTCAATTATCATCTACAATATAAAGTTTGCTAAAAGGGTTTACAATTTCAAATGATGAAGAAAGAAAGAATAGAAGTAGTATAGGATTTGAGATTTATGAGGGAGAAGGAGAAAAGATAGAAGTAAAAAAAATTATAGTAAGAGCAAAGGAGGAATTAATAGACATTGGCTGTTAGCATGAGAGAAGTGAGAAAGAGAATTCAAAGAGACAGATCAGTGAGAGAAAAATATATGCAGATTAAAAACAAAGTAAAATTTTAAAAATACATATCAAAACTGTAATATACTATTCATAAATCCATTCCTCAATAAATTGATGCATGAAAAATATTTGGTTTCAAAGATGGTAGATATGTGAGAAGGATAAAAAAAGGGAGGGGAGAATCTCAATGAAAAATTCAACACTTTTTTTCATTGTTGTTCAAAAGTTTCTCAGCTTCCCTTCTCTGCTGATATGTGTGGTTGTCAAAGTTTTATGGTAGCTCCAATCTGGTGGGTGCTGGACCAGTTGGCTGGGTGAGCCGATAGCAAGATGCTCTCACACCCTCTTCCAGTCTTCCCACCTGTAGTAGCTGGCTCCTTCTGTATACCCACACATTTCAGGACTCATTGAGATGAAGACAGTCTGGTTCTCTCCAGTTTCTCCAACCTGTGTTCTCCCCAGGGTAATGTCCCCATCTCTGGGTTTCCAAAGTCTTGCCAGGCCCAGACTAACCCATGCAGAACCAACTGCAATCTGAGGGATGTGGGCTTCAGATTCCCCAGGCTCTGCCTCATTGTATTCCCAAAATCTCAATGCTGTTTTATCTTGCAGATAGACCACCAGGGATGTGCTCTCACAAAGGAGCAACCCTGCAAAGCAGCAGCCAGATGACAGCCACTGGCATACCAGCAGGAAGTCCTCATTTGCAGGTACCCTGACAACTGATTGCCAGGCCCTGGTCAGTGTCCCCAGGCTGAGGCAGCTACTCCCCAAGATGTCTGCAGTGTTAGCTGCAAACCTGCAGGCCCCTTGGCCCTGAACTCCCAGCCCTGCCTGGTATCCCAAGATGGTAGCAGCTTCCTGTAACCAATCTTGTGGGTACCCTGACAACGGACTTCCAGGCAGCAGTGGGCAGTGGGCGATTAGTGGATGATTCTTGGGAAGTGACCAGCAAAAGGCAGGCAATCATCAGGCAAAAGGTGGGCAAATAGGCAAATAGCCAGTGATCAGCAGCCTTTGGTGAGCAACCTGCTAATTATTTTTTAATTGTAGCAAAAATATCCATAATATAAAATGTACCATCTTAACCATGTTTATGTTTTCAGTTCAGTGGTATTAAATATTATTGGGCAGCCTTCACCACCATCCATCCACAGATCTCATTTCATCTTGCAAAACTGAAACTCTGATCCTAGGTGAAGTGGCCTGTAATTCCAGCAATTTGGGAAGCTGAGGCAGTAGGATTGCAAGTTCAAGATCAGCCTGGGCACCACAGGGAGACCCCGTGTCAAAATAAAAAAGTACTGGGGTATAGATCAGTGGTAGAGCACCCCTAGGTTCAATCTCCAGTACCAACCACATAAAACACACACACACACACACACAGCAGAACACAAACTGAAACTCTGCCTATTGAACAGCAACATACCACTTCCTTCTTCTCCTCCCCCTACCCCTTTTCTCTGGCAGGTACCAGTCCACTTTCTGTTTCTATGAATGTGACTGTTCTAGGTGCCTCATGTAAGTGGTATCATACAATGTTTGTACTTTTATAGCTGAATTATTTCAATTAACGTAATGTTTTCAAGGGTCATCTTTTCTATAGCTTGTGACAGAATTTCCTTTCTTTTTAGGGCTGAATAATTTTGTTTAACATTCACCCAGTAATGGATATTTGGGTTGCTTCCATCTTGCTTTTCAGCCTTTTGGCTAAGATCATATGTAATATCTGTTTTATCAATTTAATATCTGATACATCCTCTATCCAAAGTCAATATGTTAAGTGGATGTTTGGAGCAGGAAGATAGAACAGGAGCTTGCTCTATCCTTTCCATGTATTGCCCTAGTATAGCAATACTTCAAGGATTGTTGCACCCCACCCCACAAAACAAACAAAAATCTCCTCAAGCCTCTGCTTTCAATTCCTTCTCCTCCTTCTCCATCTCCTTTTTCTTCTCCTTCTCCTTATTCTGGTAATTGAACCCAAGGGCACTTTACCACTGAGCCATGTGCCCAGAACTTTTTATTTTTTATTTTGAGACAGAATCTCACTGTATTGCTGAGGTTGGGCCTTGAACTTGTGATTGTCCTGCCTCAACCTCCTGAGTTGCTGAGATTATAGGTGTGAACCACCATACCTGGCCCTGCCTTCAATTCTTTTGAATGCATACCCCAACTTATAATTTCTGGATCATAGGGTGATTCTGGTGTCCATCAACAGTATACAAGTGTTCTTATTTTTCATGCCTGTGAACTTGAAGACACACACACACACACACACACACACACACACACACACACACAAAGTCGGCCAAAGGAGGTTGTACTAGCAGGAGAGAGAAGAAAGCTTTGAAAAGAAAATCATGTCTGAGGAAGGTTGGTGGAGGGCATAGGGCCAGGGGGCAAGGATTTCAGGGATCCTAGCAGCCTGTGCCTGTCCACCCTGACCCAGGCCCCATGAAGTACTTGTGGATAACTGCAAAGCCATTTTTGTATTGCAGGGTTGATTTTTTTATTAATCTATAACAACTTTGTATATATCCTCCCAGTTTGCCATTCTGAACTAAATACATCCCTGGAATGTTACTTTAAAATGACATCTTTGTCATATCTTTTTAAAAATATGAGTACCGACAAATATTTCTTAGCCTTTTATTTCTGACCCACTGATTTGTCCATGCAGTTCTATGAGATATTCCAATAACCAGTGTGTTTAGTCCCCCTTTACACCCCTGTCTGCCCATTTGACCTTGAATCTTCCTCCTTGTTTTTCTAGGCATATTTATTCTGGACCAGTTAGAGCCCCTAGAGTGACAACCAATCTTTAGGACATTATTATCCTGTGCCTCCCATGTGGGTCTCTCTCTGCCCAGCAGGAACTCCCATGCAAAAGCCCAGAGTGATAGTAACTCACACTCAGCCATAAGTAAGGAATCTCTAAGTGTGTTCCCACTTAAGCTAGACCCACTATCCCCACAATATTATTGTGTTCTCTTTCACTTGATCATCCTTGCTCTTCATCCCTGCTGATTTGCTCAGAGCCCCTGGAAAACTTTTCTGTCTCCAAAAAAGGGTTAAACTTTTTTTCTTGGGCCAGAAGCCTCCTTGGTGGGCACCATTCTGTTAAGGGGCCACTATGGTTACGGAATGCCTGGGACTCTTGACTCCTGGTGTTGTTTTGTTCATTCGCCCTGAAGCTATCTGCAAGACACTGAGTTTTAGAAAATGATTGTCCCCATATTGTAAATGCCTTAATGCTGACTTTAAGGGAGACCTTTTGACAGAGCAGAGGAGGCCAGACAAATGTGGTGGAGTGATCTCTGTGGGAGTCCATTCCGGGGGCCGCCCACTGGCTCATCTGGTCTGACAGCTGAAGATCATCTGCTTGAACAGATAGCCTGGCTGCTCAGGCATCTGGACACATTTTGATCATATTTAAATCTTTATTTGTCTTGTGTACCCCATGGAGAAATAAATGATCTCTGAGAATTAGAATGACAGAATTGTGAGTTTCTTCTAGAGCTTGCCAGCACGGTCGATCAGAATGGAAAACTCCTGATGGATTTATGAAGAAATGGGTACTGTCAAATGATAACATTTGGAACAAATCTTGGAGAAACTCTACTGCTATATTTCTGCTTTGAGGTTTGCTGTTAGACAACTGTCATTTTTGGACTGGATCTGGGAGAAAAGGGAAAAGTGATCTTTTCCTACACTGTCCCTCAGCCAAGCCATCCATATCCCATTGCAGTTGGGTTGTGCTGATTTGGCAAGAGCAAAGGATTTTGGAACTTCACTTATGACATTTTCTTTTTAATTTTTTTTAGTTGTAGTTGGACATTTATTTATTTATTTTTACGTGGTGCTGAGGATTGAACCCAGTGCCTCACGCATGCTAGGCAAGTGCTCTATCACTGAGCTACAGCCCCAGCTCTCTTTTATTTTTTCTATTCTTCCCAAGTTCTATTCCCTGGCCAGTGGACAGGAGGTGACTTGAAAACTAATAACCCTTATGCTCAAGACTCAGCCTCTTGGAAAAACAGGCAGTCTTCCTCTGCTATCCAAATCCAGACAGGGAAGTGTTAGGGAAAGGCATGTGGCCCCTGAGATCTAAGGGCAGGGATGGCCCATGAGACCTCAGGGTCTGTGACCCAGAGGCCCCTCTGAATTAATTCAGGATAACCCTTTTGGCAATTTCATAACCCACTCTAGCAGCATCAGGATCTGGTTGACCCCAGTGGCACAGGGTAGAGGTTCCAGAAGGCCAAAGTGCAAGGCCTCCCCCAACCTGCCCAAGCTGTGCCTTAATTTGTTGTGACTGTTCCAGAAAGTTCCAGGGCTTTCTTTGAGGCAGCCTCCTCTGGGGGAGTCCAAGTGAGAAGAATCACAAAGCCTCCTCCTCACAGTGTCATTGTGTTCCTGCCTCACCTAACTTTGGTCGCATTTCAACCTGACTTGTTCTCCTCCCTTGAAGAGGTAGTTTCCACCTGGCTCTGCCACATGATCCTCCTAGAGCTGGAAGGGCTGTCATCTCCACTTAGGGGACGACTCTACAGAGGAGATGAGACCTCTGGGCTTGCTTGTTGAAATGATAAAGAAGGCGGGTGTGTATGCACTGAGGATCAAAAGAAAATAATTCAGAAGATCTCCTCTTAAGACAAACTGCCCTTTGGCAAAGCTGATGTCTTGCTGCATAATTTCTTTTTTTTTTTTGTACTAGGAATTGAACCCAGGGGTGTTTACCCCCACCCAATTTGCTGCTGTTTACCACTGCTCCGGCTCTGTTTCAAATGTCAGAAGCTGGGTATTAATCCCTTCTTCTCTCTTCATTTCTTCCTTGATTTCTCATGTCACCGAAACCAGTATGTCAGCTGTGAGCTGCACTGTTATTTTAGGTACTCCTGAGGAAGAAAAACAAGCTGCCAATTAAATTATGAACAATGCTTTCTTATTTAGAATTTTTTGGTGAAACAGTGGGGGGGGGAAGCTCTTTTTAGACATATTTAAACATATATTTTATTGTGGTTAGCTCTTGTACATTAATAAAAAGGAAAATCTAAGGGTCATAAATTGGAAGTTTTTAACAAAACTTCTTTATAGCCAAGCATGGTTGTGCACACCTGTAATCCCAGCAATTTGGGAGATTGAGGCAGGAGGATCACAAGTTCAAGGACAATCAAGACCAGGGCAACTTAATGAGACCTGTGTATCCAAACAAAGTAAAAATGCTAGGGATGTAGCTGAGAAGTAGAGTATTTGCCTAGCATGTGCAAGGCCATGGATTCAATCCACAGCACCACTAAATAAATAAATAAATATTTCTTTATGGGAGACACTGCCATAGAGATTGATTCTCCTGAATCCATTTCCACCCCCTCCTTCCTAGTTCTTTATTCTTCTTGGTACTGGGGATTGAACCCAGGGGCGCTTTACCCCTGAGCTACATTCCCAGCCCTTTTTATTTTTTATTTTGAGACAGGGTCTCCCTAAATTGCTGCGGCTGTCCTGGAATTTGTGATCCTCCTTCCTCAGTCTGAGTAGCTGAGGATTATAGGTGTGCACCACCACATCCAGCTTCTGAATCTCTTTCAACTCAGAGCTGGTAATGACCGTCTTTCTACACATTGTTGCTGCCTGTGCATTCCGAGTGTTGTTGACACAGGATTTCTTAACCAAGGCTCCACTACCACTTCTAGAATTTTCTCCCAGCTGTTGATGGCCATTCTGCAAATTATCATGCTGTACCTCCTGGCCTTTTAAAAATTATTTTTAAAAAATCTAATAGAAAGCGTTCAGACAAAATTTGCAAATGTGCAGACAGTAATAACTAATCATAACGGCTGCCTGGCCAATAGCTATAGTCAGCAATATTGATTGTAGGACACATTCAGTTTCAAAGAAATGAGTGCCTTAGAAATGATAAATTCTAGTAAACCTTAATATTTCCTCTCCTTCCCACACCTCTGCTATGCCTCTGGGCAGGGGGATGCTTCAAGTCACATAGAAAGAAGGTCGTGTTCTTGAAAAGACTGGTACTTCCTGAGATATCAATCCTATTACATGGATATCACTGGAAAAGAAATTTTTGAATATAAAACTTGGAGCACAATTCTGCTGTTTCTTTAGATAGAATCTTAAAAGAGAACTTAGATACTTAAGAAATATCTTATAAGAAATAATATATAAGATAATAAGAAATATAGCATTCTGACTATTCTTTTCATGAACATAAACCATAGTTACTATATCAGATGTGAGATAAGAAGGCATGTGGGGGCACAGACCATGATGGGACAGCACCAGAAAAGAAGGCTCTCAGCAGACCAGAAATGATCAGGTGCTCCTGAAAGACAGGAGAATGGGGCTAGACAGAAGGAGGAAACCACAGCATAACCACATGCAAGAGATGCCTGCTATAGAAGTCAAGTGCACCTCAGAAGCTCTAACTCAAAGATGGGAGATGTGGTGAATAGAAGGAAGCTCTAGGGAACCTTTATTATTGTTGTTGTTGTACCTGGGAATGTACCCATCGGGACTTAACCACTGAGCCACATCCCCAGCCCCTTTTTATTACTTATTATGAGACAGGGTCTCACTAAGTTGCTAAGGGGTTCAGTAAGTTGTTGAGGCTGGCTTTGAACTTGCGATCCTCCTGCCTCAGCCTCCTTGAGCAGCTAGGATTCCAGGTGTGTGCACTGCACCCAAAAGCTCTAAGAAACTTTGAAGATGATTAGTTGAGGCACTGCAGTGGGAACACAGGACTTGCTCCCTGATTTCAAATAGAGGACACAGGACTTGCTCCCTGCTTGTGACAAATAGAGGACAGCAGAGGCATCTGCCTGTAGACAGGAGAGACAAAGTGGACACTTGAGTTCAAAAA